CCTTTCCTTCCTGTGTTGCTTTTGATCATGTGATTGGTCTCATCTATAGAAAACAAAAGTAGGATAAACTTTAAAGTTTTCTGATAAAAGGATGTGTGGTCAGTGACAGTCTGCAAAACTGCAAACACAGATACACAAACAGGAATGTATCCAAACACTCACACACAATCACATCAACATTAAAAAATGGGTTTTCACTAGTAGATGAACTGAGTTTTTTTTCTTTTTGCAGGTTCAATCTTGTTGGCCTGAACTATGTAAACCAATCGGACATTGAAATATGAGAGATTTTCTTGTCACTGTCTTCCTAGTGACTGGATTAAAGTTGTATACCCATGTTCCCAACTGTCACATACAGAATTTTAAAAAAATTGTTAGTTGATTTGCACAGGATATATATATATATATGTATATACATATATATATATATACATATATATGTGTGTGTGTATGTGTGTATTTGTGTGTGTGTAAATATATGTGTAAAATGTGTAAGCATATGTGTATAAATGTGGAATGCATAAAACTATGGGTGAACAAGAAGTACCTAGGTTGCTTAGATATTTTGTGGGAAAAACCATTCGTTCTGGTGTATGAACACAAAAGTTGAATAGAATATGACATTAGAGGGTCCTTAAGATGATATCCATGGGTGGCAGAGGAAACCACAGGTGCTAATATTAACACACATGTTCATTCAGAATAGCCCAGGATTTCCTAGTTTCTGAAGCAACCCCATAGTCGTCACAGGAATCACTATTAGACCTCATTTCCTCCTGCTGATCCTGAGTGTCTCTGCAGGGAGGTTTCTGTTCAGGCTCACACTGGAGTTCCCTCACCGTGTGCCTGGTACAATAGTATATGCCTGTGTCCTCAGTTTGCATACTGTTCAGCTTTAGGAGAACTTGGTTCTTGGATGTGTCCCTGGTGATGCTAATTCGGGATTGGAGAGCTGAATTATATTTTGTGACTCCATGATTCCATATTACTCCCAACCACTCTAGACCCTTTCCTTGAGGCTGGCGGACCCAGTGAACACCATGGTTGTTTAATGAGAAACCAGAGACAGTGCAGGTGATAGACAGAGTCTTTGAGGGCTGCACCTGGCCAGGTTCTGACTCCTTCAGCTGCACCTGGGACAGGACACCTGGGGAAAAACAAAATCACCATCAGTCATACATTCCATAGTGACATGGCTAGGTTCCTCTCCTGAAACCCTGTACACTTACAGCTTGGAAAGGTCACCAGGCAGAGGAGCACCACCAGGACAGCCATGCTCTTCTGGAGGCTCCAGTGAGAAGGAGATGGGGCTGCTCAGCCTAGGCCTGGGCTTTCAGCCTGTGTCTGAGGCTGCTTTGCATTGGGGGAGGATCCTGAGAGGATAAAATGAGGCACAGGGCAAGGTTTCCACTGTTATCATGTGTTTCTTAGGGAAAAAGGACATGGAAACTTAGGAAATTTTTCATTGTTCTGTCTGGACTTCCCATCCTTGATGAACAAGACATAATATGAGTTACACAATGAAGGACTGGGGTGGGAAAATTTGAGTTCACATTAATGATGTGCAGACAAATGAGAGTACCACATCTTCAATTCACTCTTATATCCCTATGATTTCCATCAGGGGGTTGAAATTTAGTCATATAATGCACTCTGGGCTATCAATCATGTGAAATCCAGAATAAAAACCTACTATAAATGTTTTCTCTTAGTGATGGTTAAGTTAATCAGGCTCTTAAGACTCAACTACAAAGGCCAACTTTTCAGAAGCAATTCATAATCATTTATTACATATGATATAAATGTTTTTCTGTCTATCTGTCTCTGTGTATATATATATCATCGTCTCTACAATTTGAATCACATTACAAAATCAGATTCCTAATTATGACTGTTGCATTGGGAAGGGATGTGAGAAAAGGTGGCATGCAGGCAGGCTCATGGCTTATGTTAAGTGAAGAAATACAAATACAGGGAACCCTAATGGCTAACAAGAATCGAAGAACAGGCATGCTTGATGATGGGAACTGTTTTCTTAGTGGGATTTCCTCCATGCCTTGGTGATGCAAATCATCAGGGAAGGAAGGAGAGTAGCTCTAAACAACTGGTTCAGTATGGACCCAGAGAATATTCTCCACTTCTTTCACATTGGACAGCCTACATGTTGTGTCCCTTATTCCTCTTGCATAATCAATAGAGGCAGGTCCTACAACTGGCACTATGTGTGTGTCAATCATGAATTTATTATGATATAGCTATAAGTGTGATAGCCTCATTATATTGTGGAGACTTATTTTAAATCCACTGATTTTGCAAAGAAATAAGGCAAGTATAATTTAACGTATTCATAATTTAAAATATATGATAGAACATAATTAACAATTATTCCTCAAAGCAAAACTGTTATGAAAAAGAATTATCAAATGTCAAAGATCCATCTTATGTCTAATTAGAAACTGCTTATAATAATCTTAAAACATATAACTGTCCTTTAATAGCAGCTACAAATATGTCAAAATACAATAAACATAACTTTAACAATTTTTGTTAATAATTAAGACAGAGTGAGGAAATAAGAAACCCATGCCTATGCCCAAGAGATATATAATAGTATAGCATCTGTGTGCTTCTTTGGGACAGAGAAGTTTGGCATGACCTGCTAGGACAGAAAACTAATGCTTATAATCCCTGCCTGACAACCATGCCTATTTCTCACTCCTGTCTAACTATGGACTGTTCAGCTCTTTACTGGACTAATAACGTGATTTAGCCAGGCTAAGTAAAACAGCTTTGCAGAGTTAAACAAATGAAACATAAAAGAATGCAATGCATCTTTGCATCATTAAACTAATATTCTATGACTTAAACAAATGTAAGAAATCATAAACTAACATTATACACAATGAGGGGTAATACTTCGTGGCAGCATCATGTAAGCATTACTGGCTGTTGACAAATGGATTCTTATAAAACTATATAATAGAAGTTTTTTACTTCAGAGGGTGAAAGTTCAGTGGCTACCATGAAATCCAGTATTATGAAGTAACATATTATATAAGGTTTATGTAAAAAATCGGTGAAATATGGACAACTGCTCAAAAATGTTTCAAGCTACTGTAGCTTATTTTGTGTTTCATAAGTAAGAACTACCTCAGCATTGTTTGAGATTTAAGGGAAAAATGAACAATGGGCAATCTTGTCCAGGATGCATCTCCACAATTTACAACACAGTCAACTCTGATGAAAAATAAAGTAGAAGACACAGTGTCTGTGCAGTTGTTATCATTAGATATCTTCGCAGAAATAGCTAGAAACCTGGAGAGTCAAACAATCTGCATGTTCCCATCCCAATGTTTCTATCAATTCCAGATCACTCCACAATGTGATAGGAATAAACAATGTCTTTACAGTTTCTCTGTAGGATCTCAATAGGAAAATAGATTTGCCATCCAGGTTCTATATCAATGATTATCCTGACTGTCCTTTCTAGTCTTAATATATCCAGGGACATCCTATTCTCTCCCAGGACCATGTGTTTGTGAACTGTTATCCTGCCTCTGTGGACATCTACCCACACGATCCTAATGTGTGTGTGTGTGTGTGTGTGTGTGTGTGTGTGTGTGTGTGTGTGTGTGGCCTGAAGGTAAGAAGAGGTCGAAGAATGCCTAAAACCTCAGGTTTTCTCATGCTGATAATGGCAGGAGTTTGGCTGCTCATCCTCTTTGCCGAGGCAGACCCCACTGCAGAGATGCCCCAAATGCAAATAAAAAATGGTATGCTCACATGACAGCGGCCATTACAGCAGATGAAAACTAATATCCAACAGGTTGATCTACCAGAGAACGTTTCATCTGGTGGGTCAAACTTCCTAGGCAAAGACGGTGCAGTTATTGCCTGTGGATATCATTTGTTTCAGTATCTTCAAAATATTTTGCAAAACTTTAAGTGAAGAAACAATAAACCCTGCCTAATCTTCTTGTGATTTCCCAATTAACCTGATTCCTAAAGCTGATACACAGAGGTAAAATGAAATTTACAGACCAATTTCCTTTACACATGTAGGTGAAAACTTTATTAATTAAACACTTGCAAATCTAACCCAACAACACATCAAGAAGATCATACACCTTGACAAAGTTGGCTTCCTTGAGATGCAGGGCTGGTTCAACTTATACAAATTCATAAATGTAATCTACACATATACAGACTGAAAGACAATAATCACATGATCATCTCAGAGGTAGAAAAGGTCTGTGACTAAATCCAAGACTCATTAATGATAAAATTCCTGCAAAGATTAGGGACACAAGTCCAACTTTGGGAACAGTAGATGGCAATAAAATGTGTTTGAAAAGTGTGTGACTCTATACAAACATATTTTTCTGAAATATTCAGTTTGTAAACATCACATAATGAATAATGATGAGGTGATGTATTAATGAACTCTATAAGAAAAAAAGCACAGCTGGGTCACATCTGAACTGCAGTGCACAGTTCTCAGGAAGAGTAAAGAGGGAAGGTTCCAGATTTTCTAAAGTTGATGATTTAATGATGTTGGCTGCACCTATCTCTGGGTTTTCCCTTAAACAAGCATCTGTGAGCCTTATCATCATGATAAGATGCAGGAGTATACATGAACTTCCTTATGTGATTTCAGTGACCATGTCAGGGTCTGTTATATCATCACTGCTGTCAGTTTGCATCTGTTCGTGGGGGACTGTGACTCATATTTTTAAAATAATACACGAAAATGTGATGTTTTGAGGACATTGGTTCCCTTCAGAAAAAAATATGTAGAGAGAATTCAGGGGACATTTTAAGAAAAATTTCAGCCCAGACATCTGATGGGGATGCTTTATCTAATCATGTATGTGTAACCTCCAGGCATGAACCTGAGTTCTGAGTGTGCTGTGTGTCCCCTGGTGACCAGGAGCAGCCTCACAGCGATGTTTATGTCTTGGTTCACACTGAGATCCCCTCACTGTGACTCTAGTACAGTACTAAGTGGCTGTGTCTTCAGCCTTCACACTGTTCATTTGCAGGTACAGAGTGTTCTTGACATTGTCTCTGGAGATGGTGAATTGGCCCTTCATGGATGATGCATATGTTTTGGTACTGCCATCATAGTTAATAACTCCAACCCACTCCAGCCCCTTCCCTGGAGCCTGGTGGACCCAGTTCATCCAGTAGTCACTGAAGATGTATCCAGAGCCTGCACAGGAGAGTTTTAGGGACTTTCCAGGCTGCACCAAGCTACCCCCAGACTCCACCAGCTTCACCTCATACTGGACCCCTGCGAACACAGAGAATCCTGTCAGTAAACTGCCAAAATAGGTTACTATTTGCAGAACTCATGTACACAAACATACACAGTGCCTATTCTTCTCCATAAATTACCTTTTAAAAGAGCAACAAGGGAAACCAAAATCAGCCTCAAATCCATCATGTGAACTGTGTTCAGTGCTGAACACTGAAAGTGAAGACCTAGGAATCCAGGCCTGGGCTCCTTTTCCTGAGCTGTAGGGTAAGTTCTGGGCTGGTTTTCATGAGAAGAGAGAGGCCATATTTGCATATCTTCCTACTATATAGCAAGCTCTGTAGTGGGTGCCTAGAGATGAAAGATCCTAGTTTGTTTGTAAATGTGCTTGGGATAGTGTGGCAATAAAGACAATGGTTGGAAATGTTTATATCATATTAAGGTATTCTCATTGGTAAACACTAAGTATCATCTATTTCATTTATACTCGCAAACAAAAGATACATTTGATTGTTACTTTCTCCCCAATTCTCCATGTTGTAGATCATACATGGCAGTGGACATTGCTTTGTTAGGTGCTCTGTAGCTCTTTTCTGCAAGCATTGACCCTGTTGTGTGGACTTCAACCTTGATGGATATACACTATCCCTGTGTACTGCTGTCTAATGAGGTTATGAACCCCTTTTTTGTGAGAAGGTTAATTTAATGGCAAGGTTATTATAGCTAAATATAGGAAGAAATGTTACTCCTGATGAAACAGGACCTGCAGAGGATAGAAAATAAGAACAACAAATGTCACAAAATTAGAAATGTGAGTTTCTATTGAGCAGTCCAATAGACTGTGGCCTAGGGTAATCACTAAGAGAAATATATTAGATTCAGAAGCCCGGCTGACTCAGATTCTTTTAGTATGTTTGTTCGAAGATGTGTTTACAAGTTTTGGAGTGCCTTAGCACTGAAACAAAACTTTAAGAATGATTTAAGTTTAGGTGAAAAAGTTTTTATTAACAGTTTAAAGGTGAAAAAACTTGGCCAATAATCTGAAGTTTGGAAAGGGACATAGTAGAATGAGAGTCACATTAATGTCCGGGAACAACAAAAAAAGAGTGGCCAGTTATTATCGGATTACGTGCCTTTCTTGCTAGGACTGGTTGGTGACCAGAGGTGATGATAAATTCCTTGTACCAATTTCTGTCCTTACCTTACTTATATAATATATAAAATATATGCACATAAATATATCTGTGAATAAGTGGTGATGCACCATGAAGATTTAAAATAAAGCTTTTTTCATATATAAATTTAAGGTTCGTGATTCTTCTAAATTTCCTACAAGATTGTCTTTTGAGAAAAATAATAAAAACATTGGAGCTTTCTTTGTAACTGCAAAACACAGCCTGCCAGTAAAAGGATGTCTTGCTTGCATACACACTGTTAATCTACAACGCATTGCTGACATATGATTATATGTGTGTTATTGGGACTATTTGTTTAGCATATGAAAAAATAAAGGGTTAACATGTAATGCATATGGAAAACATGCTATTTTTTGCTTGTATTCATAGTATTCATTCACAAGAACTATAGGGTGTAAACACCTGGTAAATTTTTTATTGATGGAAAGAGTCTACTGGGAAAGGTAAGCTGTAAGGAAAAGAATAAAGACACAAGGGAATGAAAATACCAGGAAAGATGCAGAAGGAGAGTCAGTAGGAAGACAAGAGATATGTAAGGGAAGCTTATACATAGAAGTATGAAAAGAAATAAAGAACTGAGACAGAAGCTGAGATAAAGACCTTAAGAGAGAGAGAGAGAGAGAGAGAGAGAGAGAGAGAGAGAGAGAGAGAGGGAGGGAGTGTATGTGTGTGTGTGTGTGTGTGTTTGGGGGATGTGTTCTTTCCCTTTTAGGTCAGGCTCAGAGAGTTAAATTTTGCTCCCCTCACCAGCTCTAGATAATTAAGTTTTATTACCTTCAATAGAAAAATCAGGGTTTTTGGTCTGCCAAGTTGGTAGGCTTCCAGTCAATCCCTGAGTTGATGGAGGCTGCTCCTCAGGGAACCAAAACTGGGGTAGTAAACACACATTCTAAGCAGATTTCTGTGGTGGATCTGGGCTAGAAGACGTAATGTGACAGTAACATGATAGATTTCAGTAAATCCTGGAGTATATTAACGGCAGGGACACTGGTCTACAAAGGAGTGTTTGTAGGGAGGAAAGGGGAGGGAAAATGGTGTAATTATAAATATAATAAAAAATAATTTACTGTAATCTGAAAAAACAATAAAAAATACCAGTCACACTCTAGAAAGCTAGAGATCTCATTGCTCCTTTGACCCCAATAAAGCAACCAATTTCATGGACCACACAGCTATGGAATTCTCTTTCCCTCCATTGTCTAGACAACCTTTGATAGACTACTGAACAAGATGAACTGACAAAAATCTATATATTGACAATATCAATGATCTGATTTAAGAGCAGGAAAAGGAGTAAAGCAATTACTTATTAAGAAGAAGCTGTGAATTGCCAAAGCCACTACACAAACATCAGCAACTATCATTCAACAGAATAAAGGAAATTAAAGAAAGATTATATCACCTTGTATCTGGTGGAATGTTAGCACAGCATATGTGCTCATTACTTTGAGTTTATCGTTGAGTTCCCACACAAACATGTGTAAAATGAAACACTTTAAAACTAACTGTCTGATATCTGAGGCATCAGTGTATTTTCTACAATAAAATAGGTACACATATTTACTTTTATAGTGTGTTAAAATTGAGAAAAATTTCTGTACTCTAGTACTTTTTAAATAAAAGTATAGCTATTTTCTCTCCTTTCTTTGGGATCACCCAATGGGCAGGTCTATTGGTAAGAAGTAGGATTTTTCCAGTCAATCACACGAGACATAAGCTCTTGTCTCACCAACGCAGGATCTCAGGTCTTAAGTTTAATTTCCAGTTCTTTTTGATGCCTTGTCACTTTGTTTTAGAAAATGAATGGCATTTCAGATTATAAACCCTCACTATCCACTACCTGGGCTTTATGTGAGCTGTTACGAAGAAAACAAGACACTAGGTATGGGTAGCAAGTTTCAATGAACCCCTCAATTCATTTGAAACCGCCAGATCTGGTTTCTTGTCACATTTATCTGACTGTTCTAGAACATCTACATCTTGGATGCTAATTACACAGTTGAAGCAACAGGTATCCTTCTGAATTTAAAAATTGTATGAATCATGTATCTCAGGGACTGTGAGACCTGATTATATTTCAGTGCAAGTAAACATTCTGTATTCTAATTTCATTCATATTGCTGTGATAAAATATGTTGGCTAACAGAAACTGAATGATGAAAGAGCATATTTGTCCTATAATTCTAGGTTGTACAATGAATGTGGGAAAATAGGGCAGTAACATGAAGCGCATAGTCACATCCGTAGTTAACAGTAGAGCCAGAATGAATGCATGCATGCTTATGTGTGATCAGCCTCTATGTACACTTATACAATCCATCTTCCTAACTTCAGTAAATGCTCAGTTTGCATGCAACTTGTAGCAACAATTAACACAATTAAGACAGTTCCCTTACAGTTTGACCTGGTGTAGAATGTTCCTGATCATGACTGAAGCTGATTAGAGCTATTACATTTGATTCCTGTGCAGAGTAGTAGAGTCAATACGACTATGAATATATGTTCAGGGGATAACGATAATCTGTAAAATCATTCTTGGATAATTCTCAAGAGCAGAAATTTGACCTTATTTCTCATTTACATTACAATTCAGAAGCAATTTCTAAGATTTCATGGGAATTACATGTTGAAATAATGTGTAATTAAAAAATATTCAAAAACATAAATTCAGTTATAGTAGAAACACATGCTCACACCAATATCAACATGGAGATATTTGTATAAGCTTTATTAACTGGCAACACTACATTCTGAATCTTGCATGAAGTGCAAAATTGGAAAATTTACCCATAAAATGAGAATGGACTCATAGTAGTTTTGTTCCTGTCCTTGATGCCTTCAACCTCTTTCTCAGTCTTCAGCTCAATGGCTTTGCCATCTCATATCCAGCATAGCTGCCTGCTCTATCAAATTTCTGACATACTCAGGATGTGAGGTTGTCACACCGTGCTTTGCACAGCAATAGATGGCTAAGCCTTTAGATGTCAATAGTGAGATACATGTGGGCTATGCTTGAGGATATGATCCCAGTCATGGAGACCTGTCTCTGTAAATTTCTGTGCATATTACATGTGGCCACCACTAGACCTCTTTCACCCCATTCACTCCAGCTCCCTGTCCAAGCCTGTACTTTACCCCATGCATATCACAGCTGGGAAAATTGTAGTCAGAAGTTTCATAAGGGACAAGTTTGATATGGGTTCACTTACATGATGATGTTTACTGGTAAGTCCTAGATAAGCAGGCTACACTACATGTAGGCACAGAGGTTAGGTATAGAGTAAGTGATTGGGGAGGGTGGTGGAGGATCTCCCTATGAAAACAGTTATGAGTGGGTTCAACAATGGGACAGGAAGATCAAAGGAGGAGGCATATTGGAGAGGGCTTGAGGGCATGAACACAGGGAAGGAAAACTAAAACTAAAGGCCAATTGAAAGTTCATACTTTCCTCAGGAAAGTTACTCAGGATCAAAAAATAACAACAGTTCATATTGGTTTTGCTTTTGAACCTTCAGGGAAAAACAAAAACATGGTGTGTTCCCCATATTTAAATGGAAAACATTTTAAGTGAGAGAAAGGAAGCCATGAAGATGTGAAAAAAGCCACCTTGTTGGCAACTCTCTGTACCTGTTCCTTGGATTACTATAATTAGTGATTTGTGAGCACCATGTGGTGATTTAAAGCCCCCCAAAGTGTTGCTGGCAGTGATATAATTGAGTATATAGAAGTTTATTTACTGAATATTTATTTCTAGAACTTCTGTAATAATTCCCTTTTATAAGAATTGCAAGTGTTAATTTCGTTTGTAGTCACCATTACTTGACATTTACTTTCTGGAAGAAATACATCTGATTTGATTGAAATGTATTGAAGACACATTTTACATTTTCTTCTCCCTGGAATCTAAGAAAATTGAACATTATATCATATCTTTTTCAGAGAAACATCTGTGGTTAATTTTTCTATATGATGGTTTTATTATTTGTTTTT